TGTGAATGGCCAGGTTGAAGAGTGTGCCAAAAGCATGTTCCTACAATGGTTGGTGGAGTTTTGGCACCATTTAGCAATGGCTAATTTGAGGGCAAGGTTAGAAATTACAATAGAAAAATTAGGCTTGCAGCAATCAGAGAGCCATGGCGTGAAGTTTAAATTTTTACAAACTTAAGCACAAACTTACTCAAAGGTGTGACTTAAGCTCTGAGGAGACCTACTAAAATATAAAAAATGATGGGATGCATTAAAAATATTAAAAAAAATAAATGTGAGCCCTATTAAAGGTGAAATTTGATGGAATAGATAATAGTGTAATGGAATTGAAAATCTTAACAGTTGAAAGATATAAATGACTATTTCTTGACTTTAGGGGCATTTTGACTCTTTCCCCTTAATTAAGGAGCATTTTAGACCCTTAACCTTATAAAAAAAATAAGGGGACCCACTAAAAATATAAAAAAATTCAAATGTGAGCCCCACTAATGATGAAATTTGATAGAATAGATGGTAGGCTGATAGAATCAAAAATGTTAATAGTTGAGGGATATAAATGACCCTTTCTTGAGTTTAGTGGCAATCCTAAACTTTTTTGTTTAGTTGAAAAGCATTTTAGACCTTTAACCCAAGATAATTTAATCATCGTTGTTCTTTCCAATATCAACAACACCATAACCAACTAAGTTCTCAACTAAATATCATTTATGCCTTAATTCCTCCAATCTTTACTATACTTTATATATATTCCTTTCTATCTAATGCTTTGTTTCTATCCCACTCTTCTCAAGTACATATAGCTAAACTTGTATACACACAAACACACCCCATTGGTAATCATGCTAAAATTCCAAAGTTCTTATATTAGGCATCTTAGATTTATTCCCAAAAATCAAACCACAAAATATCATAATGGGTATTATAATCATGACCCATAGAACTCCCAAGAACTCAACTAGTTTCACATTAACTTCATAACCCAATTTCTTCACAATGCCAAACTCAATTCACAAAATAAAAGCATCCAAGCTATGTTCCTCAAGAGATTAAAAAAATTTCAGGAAATACAAAACCAAATGAGCTTCTCCTAACAAACATTTAACCGTACACCTTGCAAGCATCAATCTTCAACTCTTAATTCTAACCTTTTTTTCTTTATGTCTCATCCCAACAATCTACAATGTACCATTATATTTTTTCCAATCATATTCCCCAACAAGAAAAAAATTAAAACTCAAGAAAAACTGAACCTAGACTATCTTCATCTTGATCCATATCCCCTCCCAACACAAAGGAGGAGGCATGAAAGATAGAGGAGAAAGAAGACAAGGATGCAGAGGATTTGGGTTCCAAAACTCCAGCTTGAAGGGAAAATTCTGAAGAAGGTGAAATAAAAACTTGATGCTATGTTATTTTTTAAACACAGGGCACTTTGATATACAAACTAGGGACCAAATAGATGAGTTATTAGCACAATCTCCACTATCTCAGCATTCCCTTTTGTTATACATGATCCAAAAATTTATCAAAATACAATCAAAATACCTTACCATGAAATTTATTTTATTTATAAAATTTATTTTATTTATTATTATTTTTTACTAAAATTTCTAGGTTATTATAGAATTTTTACCCCCTAAACTATTTTCCAAGAGCATTCAATGTCCTAAATTATTTGATGTAACAATTGTGCCTCTAATGTTAAATACTCCAACATGACTGTTAAAAATGGTAACTAGAACTTAAGTTTGACAAAAAAGACCATCAATCATGTCAAGTGGATCCAAGTTAAAGTATGTTTTTGCTACATTTTAATTACTTTAAAGAAAAAATTACTATGATGCAAATAGTTTAAGAAATTGAGTTTAGGGTTTAGAATTCTACTACAGCAAAAAGTTTATATAATGCTATTTATTAAATGGTTATATAAAAAATTGTTATATAAATGTAGGTGCAAATTTGAAAAAACCATTAAATTGAAAACCATTCAATAGTTCAAGCAATTATTGAGTGGTCATTAAAAATAACTATTGAGTAGTCTTTTAACTTTTAAATTTTTAAAAATTAGAAACTATAATACGATTGTCCCTATTCAAAACCGTTTAATAGTTTCTAAACTACTAAACAGTTACATAGATAATTGCTGAGTAGTTCCTTTTAAAAATTAAAAAACCCCTCCATGATTTTTTGATCTTTTTAGTGAATATAATGTAATCACCAGGATTGCCACCATCATTCTTTTAGAGCCCTTGATTGTTTAAATCTAACGGCTTATGTTTCTTGGCTACAAACACACCTAAGCCTCGTCTCCACCAAGCCTCTGACTCTTCTTCTTCCACTTTTTCCACAGTTCTTACACCAAAACTCTGGGTTGTCCATCGGCATCACTTTCACCCACATCACCGGCGACGGCAAAGCCTTTAACCACGCCACCATGTTCGCTCTGTACATCACCCACTTCCTTCTTTATTCTTCCATACACGACTAAGAAAACGATGGTGCTAGTGATGGCCAGATCCAAGAGAGATGTACAGCAGTGTATGAGTAAGTTGTTCCTGAGTAACTATCATGATAAGAGTGACATGTTAGGTTAAAAAAAAAAAAAGAGGTATATGTAGTTTTAGGATTCTAGTAATAATTAATATCAATAAAAATATATACATAAATCTGTAAGATTTTATAACTTAAAAGTCAGAAGCAACATAACTATTTTACATTATTTATCAAATTAAATTAGTCACAATTGGTTTTAATCCGTTAAAAATATATACCAAAGTCAAATTCCCATGGCGCAATGAGAGCTTTTTTTTTTTTTTTTGGGTGAGAATTAAGTCATTAACAGACGTTTCTACCTGGAAATTTCTCATTTTACAAAAGGGCCAGCCTAGAAATGAAAAGCAGTCCACTGGCCCAAAAAAGAAAAAAAAAAAGGTGTGAGCTCGCTTTTATATATGGGTTCTTTTTTAAAAAAACAGCGGGCCCATCAAAAGCTAATGCTAGCTTAACCCAGATCAGCGCAAGACTGGAGCTACCAACCATAATAATAATAATAATAATAATAATTAATTAAGATGAGAAATCGATAAAAATAGGCATTTTTAAGGGAAAAAATTGATAAATCATAATCTACATTAAGATTGTCTAATGTGATGTATAGCTGTTTGTACAAATATTTGAGTTGTTTATATCATGATTTAAATTTCTATTTTATTTTTAATTTTGTTATTATCTTCATTTTGGTTTTTTAATTGAAAGAAAATTAAATGAACAGTCTCCTTATTCTTATATAGATTAGAAGCTTTGGCTGAGGAATATATATATATATATATGTGAAGGGTTTTTTTCCCCTCTTATACTGGAAAGATCTCTATTTACACGTTACCTCACAATTTTTCAACAAAGCTAGCCTCATGCGTGGCTAGAGTTTTTTTTTCCCCATACTTTTAGTTGTTTATTTTTATTTAAAAAATAAAATAGAAGATGAAGATTATTTTCCAACTCCCATAGGCCATCAATGCATACGTCTAATAAAAAAAATTGTCTATTTCAAAACAAAAAATGTTGACAAATAATAAATTAATTAAAAATAAAGCATTATAAAGCAAAAAACTATTCATATTTGTGTGCTCTATGTGATTCTTCATTTTTTAATTTGATCCCTTCTAAAAGTTATCAAAATAGGAAAAAAAATAAAATTTGAAAGAGAATAAAGAATTTATATATGCTCTCCAAATCTATGTGCTTGACAAGTGGTGAAATATTGTCTTTATTTTGTATTTTTATTTCTTCCAAAGAAACATGTATCATACTACTGATTTTTCTTTTCTTTTCTTTGTTTTCTTTAAAATGAAGCCATTAGAATTTTGCCATCACAAAAGGACCAAATATCCATTACTCTTGATTAATCTAAATTCAAGTTGTGTCAAGCTTCTGCTTATAAGAAAACTCTATTTAATGTGATTTTTCCTATCCATGCACATTTAAAAGTGTTTTATCATAAATAAGTATCATCCTGTTAGAGATAATATCATATTTGAGATATGATCAAAGATATTAAATATGAACTCGCATTTCTCTCAACAAAAATTCAAATCTTAACTAGTCCTTTTAAATTATTAGATCCAACCTAATTAGTCACACTATTGGAATTTGAAAGCATATATGGGGACCAAAGGGCATTGGGTCACTATTACAGAAATAACCCTTTAATAGCAATTAAAAATTATTTTTACAGCGGTTAAAAAACTAGAGCTGGTAATTTGGACCAACCTAAACCCACCCAAAAAAAGTTAGAGCTAGACTTGATTGTATAGACTTTTTTAAAGGGATAGAATATTTTAAGTTTGATTCGAATAAACCTAGCTTAAATTGAGTCCAGCCACTAGAATTACTGGCTATATATATATATGTAGACTCAATAATTTTAACCACACCCAACAAGCCAGCTAGAACTCGACAAAAAAAAGTTAAAATCAAACTTAACTATATGAATCTTTTTTAAAAGGTAAAACACTTTAAGCTCAATTTAAATAAGCTCAGTTCGCTTAAATTACTAACTCTATCAAAAATCAAGGTAAGAGATGTTGAAAGTCATTGACTTTTTACAGTGAACTAGTGTTCATATTCTGGCTAGAAGAGTGCCTACATAGCAATCAAAAGAAAGCGTGTATGAGGAACAGCGTATTGGTTTCTTGTTGGGGCACGGTGGAGAAGTTACAAGAAGCAAACAACGGACACGCCCATATAAGCCCGAAGTAAAGTCACAAGCACAACAAACCTTGTTGACTTTGCTTGAAATCATCAAATCAAATGAAAACTGTATGTAATGATTCCCCAATTTCATCATCATCATCACAGGGTGTATTTGGTTAATTAACCAACCAAACCCTTTAGCCTTTTTCCCATCATTCATAATTCAATCCCTACTTGCTAGCTCCCTTCTCCCACAATTAACCAACTAACTCCACCACCACCCTCCCTTTATACCTACTGATTACTCTCTCTCTCTCTCTCTCTGTGGCCTTCCACTTGAAGAATTAAAAACCTTTATAAGATGGATGCAATCATTCTAGGTTTGAATCAATTTCTCATAAAGCCATAACTAAAGTAGGTCACATCCTTGGCTAGCTGCTAGGTTGTTAATGCCCGGCCACACCCTCCTCTCTTTTCTTTCCTTTATTTCTTTCTTTCTTTCATCTTCATAATAACTTCTTTATATTACACAGTTTCAATATCTTCTGTGTATACAGAATCCTCCATCGTCAGCCCAGAAGCAGAAGCATAAGAGGAAGACATAGACGAAGACGAAGAATGAGTACAGCGAGATTTATCAAGTGTGTGACAGTAGGAGATGGTGCAGTAGGGAAGACTTGCATGCTCATATCCTACACCAGCAATACCTTTCCCACGGTAAATATATGTTTTAAATTCTTGTTTCTGTATATATATTGTCTGTCAGAAGAGGATTTAGTTTATTTTTGAAAGAGAATGTTTCTGATGTAAATTCTGTGGTGTGGTATTGTTTCTTCTGGTAGGATTATGTTCCAACAGTTTTTGACAACTTCAGTGCAAACGTAGTGGTTGATGGAAGCACCGTGAATCTTGGTTTATGGGACACTGCAGGTTTGTTTTATCTTTCGTCACCTTCTAATTTTCCATGAATGTTGTCATTTTAATTCAAAACTATGTTTATATATGAACCATCCATATTTTAACATATATATAAAATACTATATAATTAATACTTTTTATTGAAAAATTCTTTCTTCTAATATAATCATCCACTATATCCGCTACAACCGATTTATGTTTAATTATTATCAAGTTTGATTAGTGGTAGCTCTTCTAACATGTTTTGCGTTAAAAAAAAAAATTGAATTACACGTAAACATTTACTTTATACTGTCCTTGCAACGTGCTTGAATTTTCTCTCATGTATAATTATATAAGAAAGATAAACTCACGATAAGGGAAATGGAGACTCTCCATTTCTTTTCTCTCCATTTCCCTCCACTTTTTCCATCCCCACCATTCATTAATTTTATCATTTAAAAAAATTGTTTAATAAAAAAATTTAAATGGTGGAGATGGGAGAAGTGGAGGGAAAGGAAGGAAAAAAAATGGAGACACCTCTAGTCCCACAACAAGTGGGTAGGCCCCACTTGTGTTTTTCTCTATGAAAACTATATTTAGTCTGAGAGAATCAGAGACAAAAGTGGGTTATATTTCTTTTTCTTTCTCTCTTCTCACGAGGGTGTCTCCTGCCTCTTCTACGGGTTTTCTTTTTCTTTTTAATTCCAAAAACTTAGGGATATTTATCATCACCTCTCACCAAAACAATGGAAACTCTTGTGAGATCATTATTACCAACGATAGTTTCACACATATTTTAAAAATATTTTTAACATATTTAATTAATACAATTGCATATTTCAAGACTTGAATTCAAGACTCTAGAATAAGTTAATTTATTCTCTCAACTAGTTGAATCATGCACTGCTCAATCTATTTCCTTCTTTAATGCTCAAAATCTCAGTCGGTATTAGATGGGGCAACAGGGAGGATAGTAGACAATTCAAATCTATTCGCACTCTACTTAAAATCATTTTTAGAAGATCCTATATATCTTCAAATTATTCAGGTTGGTTATTTATGTTTGGACAGTTTCCATTGGACACTAGCTAGGTTGTAATTAAGTACTCATGTTTCAAAAATATAGTCAAAAATTAATGCAATATATCTAATATTTGTATCAAACACTTTGAACCACACTAACATGTTTATGGGTATGATATTTGGTTTACAGGACAGGAAGATTACAACAGGCTAAGGCCGTTAAGCTACAGAGGAGCTGATGTGTTTCTGCTGTGCTTTTCTCTTATTAGCAAAGCCAGTTATGAGAACATTTCTAAGAAGGTTCTCTCCTCCCAACCTCAAAATTTTATGCTTTTTTTATATTATTTTTAATATAAATCATGTTTTCTAAATTATCTTATAAATGACAAATTCAAATCTTTGAATGAATTCTTAAACTATTATTATTATTATTGACTTACAGTGGATTCCTGAGTTGAGACATTATTGTCCAAATGTGCCTATTGTGCTTGTGGGAACAAAACTAGGTAAGCTAATTAATAAAAAATTCTAAGAAGTTGTACTATTCATAAATAGGTCTCATTCATTTCTCAACCTCTGTGCAAAGCATGAGACTTATTAATTAATTAAAAGGAATTGAAAAGCTAATATAGTGATTTCTTCTGAAACTGGATTACACAGACCTGAGAGATGACAAGCAGTTTTTGATGGATCATCCTGGAGCCAAACCAATCACAACTTCTCAGGCATGTTCTTCAGAGAAGTCCTTTTTGGAAAAAAAAAAAAAAAGGCTTCATATAATAAGATATATTAAGCTTTTTTTTTTTTTGTGGCATGGATTTAACAAGAATGTGATGAATAGGGTGAAGAACTGAAGAAAATGATTGGTGCAGTCACTTACATAGAGTGCAGTTCAAAAACTCAGCAGGTAAATCAATCTTTGCTCTTTCTTTTTTCAACATGTCATTTGTTTTTTAAATCGTCTCATATTTTTTTATTCAGGATTTTTTTTTTCTTGTGTTTTTCCTTCATTGTGGTTTCAGAATGTGAAGACCGTGTTTGATGCTGCAATAAAAGTAGCATTGAGGCCACCAAAACCAAAGAAGAAAGCACGAAAGAAAAGGACATGTTCTTTCCTCTAAGCAATCAAGAACCTATTTTCTTTCACTCTAAGTCATCATAATGTAGCACAATTAATACTTTATTCTTTAATATTCATATATAATGTTAAATTTAATATGTAATTGCCTACTGAATCCGTTAATAATATTCATGAAGGATATTAGGTTCCTTACTATGTAAAATTAGAATATGTCATAATGTAAAATTACTACTTAGCTTTGTATTTTTTTGTAATTTTTTATCTTGTTATTTCTCTATTTTTATTAGTATTTCTCTAATAAAAATGGGACTTGTTAATTTTGACTCACATTCATGGCATGATTTATAAGTTAACTCTTAATATTTATAGAAGTCAACTCTTCTTATACAAGTCATTATAAGGTTAACAAAATGATAAAGGAAGAATTGTAAAATTTGAAGGATTGACTTGTGAAAATGGGAGAAGTTATAACTTGTGAATGATTTTATAAAATTTGAAGAATGTATTAAAAAAAGGAAAAATATAGGATGGGGTTGTAAATATCAATTTTTTAAAAAAATTCCTGTTGACCTGGCGTATATTATCACAAAAAGGTAAAAAATTTACAAGTCATTTTGAGGTAAGAATGTATAAGATTTATTATTGGTCAATAGTATAATAATTACATCTGAACTAACTATATATGATAAAATAAAAAATACATATTATTCAATTAAAAAGTTATAAAATTATTATTAGTATTATCATTATCAGCATAAAATGTAAAGTTGAAGTTGATTATGTGAAATCTAGTGTGGGTTAGTTAGTTAAGATTCACTCAAAATAAATATGGGTTAGTTAAGAGAGATTTGCAAGAAGAGACATATTGGATTGGATATGTCGGCCAAACACGTATAAAAATTTCCAAGCCTGATCCTAAAGTTTTTTTTTTTTTTTTAACATATTTGGATTCATCCCTTAGGACTTGTTTGGTTGGAGGGAAAATTCCCCCCCCCCCAACTTTACCAAACCCTTGTTCCATCCAAACAAGGGAGGACTCTCCTCCCCTTCCTATCTCTCCAACCAAACAAAGCCTTAGACAAGGTAGAGCCACATTTACAATGAAGGGGCATTACTTAGGGGGAAATTACATAGAAAGAAGTATAAGTTTTAATATTTTGTTTCTTTTCTTTTTATATTTTGCCCTCCTCATCTTGGTATTTTAAACTTTAAATGCGATATAGACTTAAAATAATTTATTCTAGGAGTGTCTTGTCCTTATTTCAATCAATATTGTTCTACCCAATCATGTTGGGATGGGACTATCCCAGCTTGAAAAAATAAGACAGGGCCAATTATGTTTAGGATATAGAATAAACTCAAGATTACTATTAAAATGTCATGTCCTGTCTCAAATATATTATAAATTTTTATTAATTTTTAATATTTGTTTGTTCAATCAGAGTATATATATTTTATTTTCTTTTTACATAATCATATGATCACTTAAGTTGTGAAATTCAATGATTTCATTGTTGTTGTACTTTTAACTTAGAGATCATTGGTGGTTATTGTAATTATGTTTTTTCACTCTAAATTGTAGTTATTATAACCCAATAATTGAATTTATGTACATATATTGTTTTGATTTTAAATAATGAGTTATGTAATTTAATGAATGTTGTTATTCAAGTTTCTTATCAATGTTTTATTTGCTTTATTGGAATGTTTTGGTCCCATCTTATTCCAATCCTAAATGGGACAAAATGACTTTCTAAACAAGATAAGACATAGGACAAAAATTTAACGTCGTTCATTTTTTAGGACGAGACATAAGATATGACTATCCTAATGTTGTTCAGTTTGGTCTCGTAAACACTCCTAATTTATTCTACCTCCTTGAGTTAATAATTTATCCTTGTAAGATATTTTTAAGAGCTCAAATTTAATTTAACATAGTAAATTATCACAAATAATAATACTTATACAATGCATGGAAATATGAGTCTAGTTATTCTTATTTAGAGAAGGACTAATATTGTGGGTTTTGTTGAGTACGATCAGGATTAGTTTGGCACACCAAACAGGTCATTTTAGTTGGTGGACCTTGAGGACGAGATTGAGTAACATATGAATAACAACCTTGTACTTCATAGCGTTGGTTTGACTAATATCTCTTTGTTTCCAATTTATGTCCCTTTTGAAAGCACCACCCTCACCTAATTTGAAGCAAAAGTCATCGGCAGTTACGTGAGCTGGTGACCCATTCTGTCAAATAACTACTATAGTCCGGGAAGAGTTGAGAATATGATTTAAGCTTAGCAAGGCCAACTCACTAAAAAAGGTAAGTTCGTTTGGCCCACTTCCCCTACCCTACAAACATATGTAAAATAAAAAAAATATATATGAAACTTTTAACTATTGAGCACTTGAATCTCAAGTTTAATTAATGATCTCGAATTTGAATGCCGAGAGTGTAATATGGCTAAAACTTTGTGGTAGAATTTGCCGCTCAAAATTTTCTTTATTTTAACTCGAATAAACTTAAAGAAATTCAAATCAAGCCTAAATCCAAACAGATTTAAACCAAATGTCTGATTTTTTTTTGTTATTAATAAAGTATAAAATTAGATAAAAATTAAAAATCTTAACTTTTTAAGATAAAAAATAAAATTGACTAAAAAATAAAATAAAATAATATTTAATAATTTTAATATTTAGGCTAGCCTGAAGAATAAGCCTAAAAGGTTAAGGTATTATATTCGAACTTGATTATATAAATTTTTTTTATATATTTGAGCATTTAAGCTCAATCCACATAAGCATGACCTAAATAAAGCTTGATTTATTCAAATTACCAGCTCTATTATGAGCCATAGTTAAGTCTTCTTATCTTGATACGGGGCAAGTCTAAGATATTGGGTGTACAAGTAATAAAAAATATGAAACTTGTATGTATAAATGGGCTTCAAAATGTTGGCCCGAGAAAAATGGGCTTTAAAATGACATGACGTTTTGATGTGTCAATAAGAATGCAACCTGGACATTAGCTTTCTCTTCTTTTCTAGTTTTTTTTTCTCATTTTTTTTAAATAAAAGGCCGAACTGTGTGTTTCAGTTTCGCAAGACTGAACTGGGGATACCTACCATGTCCTGAACTTTGTGGTGGGCCTCCATAACACATGGGCTTCATTCGCCATAATCCAATTCAAGTAGAAAGGCCCAATTTGAGGAAAAACTTTTGGGCTCAATTATACATAAATCAATATATGTGCATCCCAAAAATTACAAAAACACCACGAATCACACAAACACAAATAACACTTAAATCTTCGACACTGATGCTCTTCTGATATCAGAATCTATGCTGTTCTTTGTACTTTTTTTTTTTCTGACTAATAAAAAAGGTTTCGGATCTCCCTTTCAAAGCAAGGAGGCTTGATTTTAGATTATTTTATATAATTGCATATCTTTTTAAGGTCTTTGTTATACTTTTTTTAGCAAAAAAAATATTTTATATATTTTATGGGATTAAAGAAAATTTTACTCTTAAATTATAAGTCTAAGAGCCTTTAAAATCTTAAATTATTTTTTGATATAATATTCTATTTCAATATTTGAAAAAGTCCAACGTCGCTTTTACAGTTAATAAAGTTAACTTTAATCATTAGTTGATTAAAAAATTATATAAATTAAAAATTATAGGAAATAATTTCAAAAATTATAGAAACTAAACCAAAAAATTATAATAAATAACCTAAAAAATTATAAGAAAGTATCATGTTGAAGAATTAATGTCAATTAAGTTCTCTAAATTATAAATAAATATCAAAAGATAAATGTTATTCCTTTTTCATGTAAAATACTAAATAAATATCTCTTGTAGTAGGTCATTAATGGATGGATATTGCTTGCGAAATAACTTCTCTCTTTGAAGCACTAGCTTAGCATGAACATGCCTATTTCTTAGAGTGCAAGACTTACCTTGAACGAATTTTAACTCTTTCTTTGTTTTTTTTTTTTTAATTTAACATACGGTAGTCTATTAAAATTTATCCTGAACATGGTCTAAATTTTTTGATAAGGAAAAAAAAACACACACACAAATACGTATAGTGAGAGAATTAGAGAGAGTTTAGACAAATTAGGTTTTAATAACTTCAAAAAAAAAAAAAAAGGTTTCTTGGCTTAAAAGTACTTACAAGGAAGGAGGCAATCCAAAGATTGAAGGAGGGCCAATTTAAATTTTGGGCTCTACGAAGAAAGTTTGGTGATATGGGAATTGGGACCAATCCCATGATTCATAGTGGACTTATCTCAACAAAGTTTGGAATTAAATAAAAAAAACCAAAAATAGGGTGGATCCACCATTATTACAAATAACGCCCAAATAAAATGGGGAGAAGATCATCTAAATTATGGCATGAAGGGCCTAAAGCTTGAAGTCTTCAAAAAATTTTATATAGGTTTTGTAAAGTTGACTTATTTAAAGACAAGTCTTGTAAAATTAAAACCACAATTAAGTCTCTTGAGATCTAAATATAATTTAAATTTTGGATAAAAAAACAACAATGCCCCTATTAAACATATATATATTACATCAGTCAAATAATTTATAACTATTTTATCATATATTTATAACTATAACTTTAACTTTTTACAACTATAATTTTATATATTTAATAGTTATATGATTAATGTTATGTATGATTGTTTAACTATTAAATATGTGAAATTACAGTTATAAAAAAATTAAAATTACAATAGTAAATTGTTAATAAAATAGTTATAAATTAATTATTTGATTGTTGTAATGTATGCTCTAAAGGGATATTATTATCTTTATAACCTAATTTTAGATTACATTTAGGTCTTAAGGGACGTGGTCATGGTTTTTAAATTTTGCAAGATTTATTATAAATAAGTATGTTTCATAGGACTTACACATAATTTTTTCTAAATTTTGAGTCAATTATATTTTGAAAACTTGAAAGCATTATCACCACTCGTCCAACCAATGATAACCTCACAGATATCTTATGTAGGATTTGAATTTAAAACTTTAGGATAAGTTGATTCAACTTTCATAACCAATTAAGTCAATCTTCGCTTGATTTTTTTTTATTTAGTTTATTAGAATAACATACATGTACACATATGCTTGCATGCAAATACGCATGAATATGATGTGGATGCATTAACAATGATATCATTAAATATAAAGGGCAAATACACATCATACATATAATACAATAAAAAAGCAATTTTTTTGGTAGAATGATAATTAGGTTCCAACATATTTTATAAAAATTAATATATAAATACTGATTCAAACAATTGTAAATGAGA